GGACACACACAAACCCTCTGTCTCGCGCTAGAGAGATAGAGAGATTGCGCCTCCCCAGCCCCCGACAACGGGTGCGTGCTTCAGGGCGACAGGTGCATGTTGTAGACCTTGGACCCCTTGATTAATCCAACGTGGGTCAAGGGGTCCAAGGTCTGCGCTGCGTTTGACACGTGTCCCTTGAGCACGTAGGCGCTATCGCTAGTTCCGGCGGCGTACAGTACTTCTCCTCGCTTGCATCCTCGAACACGGGCACCAAAGTCCCCATCTCTCTAGAGCGGAACACCAAAGAAGTTGATGTGTGTCCCGATATTGGCGGACCAAATCATGGAATGGGACCACTGTCATCGTTCTCCGGCCTCTTCATAGAATCTCGAGCAAATCTATCTACAAGTAGGGGATGCGCTCGTTGTCTATATGGAACGTTTATTGTCGAGAAATTGATCGTGTTTAGGCGAAACCTTTGTGTCTTCCCACCCCAGAGAGAGGCGGGTGGGAAAAGTACAAAGCTGTGCGGCCTGTTTCGCTCTTTCGGACCACTAGTCACGCCTCGTGGTCGAGAACAAAAGCATCGTTCCTGTTCCGCCCGACTCGTTTCCGGAGTTTTGTCCGACGGGCCGCTTTGGCGACGAGCCGCCCTCATGCCGAAGTAAAAGTTCGCGCAAAATGCGACGATAGTATTTCTTGCATGCCGTGGATGAATCCCCATGGCGCCGTAGCTTGGCAAGGTTAAGGCGTTTTTATTGGGGAGTGTCGTGACGGGGAAACTAACTCCTGCTTTTCCCTGTCTATTTGTCCTATTACCCCGCAGCACGTCAACGATCCCGTCCAGTCTGGACATGGCCGTGTTCATAGAGACAAGCGGTGAGTCCAAACGTACTGAATGGTTTCGAGTAGGACTTCGCCGTACATATTAGTAAGTACAAACAGGTCAAGAGGTTATCCAACATCTTCCCATGATTGTATCGCGGAATTCTTGGATTTCCCTGAGGGAAGGAACGTTTTCGGTGAAGACCCGCGTGCCGCAGAGGAATCCTCTCGTTGAATTCTGGATGGGGGCTCCTCAGTGCAGGACGCGAACCCGCAGGGTACGCGGACATTCCGAGCAATAACGACAAAAGTGTTGCTGAGAACGAAGCCACGCAAGAAAATCAAGCAATATTGAACACAAGCAGTGCTGCACGAAGCGATAATCAAAACATCTGCACTTTGCTCTACCCGTAGTCAACTTGCCGTAGTAAAAATCGACACCACAAAGCGTAGCAGCAAGCGAACGTCACAATGGAGGGCAATCACAAGCAATTCACAACACCTTTGTGGCTCAATACGAAACAGCGTGTCGGAGATACTTAGACCTCGGTCCGGTGTTGGTTAGGGACCATGCAACTCACCGATAGATGTGGTTCCGAGCCGCCGCTTGGTGATTGCTTCCTCTGTAGGCAGGTGTCGGTAGGCGCACGTCGCTAAGGCCAATTGTAGATTCGACAACGAGGGGGAGTAGCACACTTGGGAAGCAGTGCGGAACACAAAGCACAAGGAATATACACCCTTGCCGAGTGAATCATATGTCTTCTTGGCGATCATCATACATTTGGTTGCCGTGCAGCCAATCCCGGTGCTACATAATTCGATATAATGGCTTGCTTTCCTAGGCTGGAGTAACCCAACTGCGTGCCCTTGCTGTAGGGCGACGTGTACCAGTCGACTATAGAGGGAACCGTCTTGTCTTATGTTTACTAGAAGCTTTGATTGCGATTCCGAGGTGGCCAACAGTGGTGGCGTTCCTTTGTGGTCGGTTGTGGCAAACGACACAAAGAGAACGTCCAATGGTTTCCAAATGGCAAGAAATTCGAAGGACCTAGCAAAGTTGTGTGTTTCTGGATAAATGTATGTCCGGGTAGAGGATAGGAGAACATAGCAGGAACTCTCCCGAAATCGAAGAAAATAAAGGTGGAGCACAACCGACCTTGGTTGAACTTTAGAAGCGGCGAACAGGGCTATGCCCGTGATATTCTCGCGAAGAAAGGATTTTTGTCGTGATGGTGTTGATTTTGTTCTCAACGGGACGCATGATAAACAGAACACGACGATTTCATTGACAAAGCAAAGCAAAGCAAAGACCCAGGCCATATCCCGCCCCCAATTTCACTTGTCCGTATGCGCCTACTTTGTGCAGATCCTCCGGTCGTGTTATTGTACGATCTGGTCGGTGTCATCCACGGACGATTTGCTACTTTTGGGAATGCTGTCGCCTACACGCGTAGACCAGGCGGGACGTGGACTGGCTACTACAACAACGACAGGGTCGGCGAAAACCTGTCCGACTATGACCTGCTCACCGCACGGGCGGCCGTGCTGCGTTACGCCAAGCGCGGTTAGACCTTGGGGTCGCGTCGTCGTCTGCGATGGACTGCGACAGATTGTGTGTCACCTGTTTCTTTGCGGTGCAAGAAAAACCGGAACCGATGTTTTTGTGTTTTTCGAGCAGGCTGGGTTGCGCTCAAAGCAAGCGGCGGTCTCGTCCTTTCATGTGCTTCGTGGATTTCGGTGTATGAATCAAAACCACAGCTGGCAATGCGGCCGGCACAACCGTGCGGCTAACACACTCGGCTTCTGACACTCCCAACATCATGACGTGTTTCTACTCTGCACGGTGCTCGCTGGCGTCGCGGCCAGTTAGGCCATGTTACCGGGCGGGTGGTGCAGCACGCACGGCCAACCTTGTGTCGAGGTTAAGCTCGTTCAGAAGAAAGACAGACAGGCCCACCGACATGGCCTCCAACAAGTCACCACGTGGAACACCCATCTTTGAGTCACGGTTGTGTGTATGCACGCAGCAGGGCGCGCAAGCTAGAGACTGTTCATGGCAAAACTTGAAAGATTGGGCACTCGATGAAAACAGCACTTTGTTGTGTACTCTTTGTGTGTTCCCGCTGTCCCTCGCTGTTAACACGGAATGCCAAAAGTTTCATGTATGCACCCATAGATTTTTCCACCTCGCCAGCATGACCAAGTATGCCACATGCACACCATCACGTATTTGATTAGGTTCGATTCGGTTTGCGATCATATCGTTATTTTGTCATGTCATATAACAACGACAACACGAGAAAACAAAGTAGTACCTTCACTACATTGTGCGATCTCCCCGCTACCATGAGTGGTTTGAAAAGGCGGGAAGGGATATCGTTAGGATAGACAGACTAGGGAACCATCACGTATTCAATTAGGTTCGATTCGGTTTGCGATCATATCGTTATTTTGTCATGTCATATAACAACGACAACACAAGAAAACAAAGTAGTACAGGTACTATTTTTCGCGACCTCCCGCTACCATGAGTGGTTTGAAAAGGCGAGAAGGGATATCGTTAGGATAGACAGACTACGGAAGCCATTTTTGAGCCACCTTTGGCAAAGTAGGAAGGAACGATTGGCCATCGGTGATCGGTTCTGTGGGAACAATGCTCCGTCCTCTCGAGGACGCGTGCTCAATGGTCTAACCGCTAAGGCATGCAAAGCATAAGAGTACGCCCCCCCCCCCCCCCCCCCCCCCCCCCCAAACCCCACACCCAAAAATTCAACCCCAAAAAAAATTAACCCCAACCCACCCAATTCCGGAATGAG